CTTTCTAACAGAAAATATTCTTCTTACCCTAGGTGTTAAAGTTTGAGCCTGGCCATTTCAGGAGGAGGGGCAGAGCAAAGACCATGGCTCTCGTTGACATCCAGTTGGATCACCATGAGCGGTGCAACTGTATCTGCAGCTCAAGACCACCTCGATAAAAGAATGTGCACATTCTTACATTAAGCTTGAAAGAAACTTTAGGTTAAGGAGGGTATGGGTAAAGACCCATTTTCCACCAGCAACCAAACTTACTACTAGCCTGCAATGCAATGAACACACTGGTTGCTGAGTTTCAACCTAGCTTTTAGTTCCATGGCAAGTAGAAAGGTGTATTGCAAACTTCTATATGCAAGAATATAGGATTGCATTTAATAATAGCATCTGAGGATATTCTATATACACAGCACAGATATGTATATCCATGTCTATGTGTAAATAGATCAAATGGTCTATTCAGTACACATAACCAGGTACACTAGAGCTTAGGTATGGTTGAGTTCTTCAGACCCTTAAAGCCTTTTGACAAATAAGAGACAGTCAAATATATGAAGCATGTCTTTAAAATTTTCAGAAGATGAATGTGTTTATTTTTTAATTTTGAATCACAAGATAATTTTGGATATTATTCTCTTAAAGAAATCATCTCATACATTAAAAGCAAAAGAAGAGTTTTTCTTATGTATACATCTTAACTGATTATTTAAAAAAAGGGAAAATATGATTTTTAGGGAAAAGGCAAATACTTAGGCATTTTTCCCACAAGATGTACTACATACTTACTATGTAGACAATAATAATCTGTCTCTAAAACCATGCCATTGTCTTCTTTATATGCATTTTGCTGAGGTATTCTAATCCATCTAAAAACTGCCTTAAGAAATTGTGCAGAATACATTATTATACTCCTACAAGAGACAATTTATAAGCTATGGCAGAATTTTGGATTTTTATTTTTCTAAAACACCTCCACAAAAGCAAATCCTTTGAGGAGTGGCATGGGAATTCTGTATGAGCCTTTCAAGATGGTATTCATTGGAAGATTTGGGTTGTTGAGAGTTTAAAAAGCAAGTATTGATACATTGACATAACTGGAAATTAGGTGTAATATTAGATAGGATCCATATTTAATAATGGATTCAAACTTTCCAAACTGTGCCAAGGAATTTTACGTATCTTGCATCTGTGTTATAATAGCATTCTATTTTTGGCAAACCATCATGAATTACTTAGAGCCTAAAAGCTTTTGTGTATCAGTAAAACAACCAAATTTTATTGATGCTCATTCCTAATCATATACTTACTCACCATTGTGAATTTGTTTCTGAACCAAGTGAAACTAGATCTGGGGGTTCTCTGGTTCTTTGTAAATCTGTGCGTCTTATTCTAAGAAGCTGACTGTAAATTATGGGAGCATAAGTTTGGCCCTGTTCTCCAACTAGGAAACTGTTTAGTGTCGGGTATTGGTATTTAGAGTAATTTTTCCTCTCTGGCTCCTTCATGTCTATTTTAAAGGAGCCTGACTCCAAGAGTAGGAAGTGATTCATCATTCTCCAAAGCAAGACACTCAGGGGAGCAGCGCTGAGATCGGGAAGCTCCGGGGCTGCTCTCAGAGAGCTGCGTTTTTCTTCCTGCCTTGAAAGGAGAGCCGATTTCTTCTGTGAGTCTAGGGCCCTCCTGCCCATAACCAGTCTGGGTAAGAGGTACGTGACAGGGTTAGTTACGTCCTGGTGTCAGGTGAGTAGCTTAAATATCCTTAGATTTCTAAAGTATGGCGCTCTCAGGTCCAAGTTCTCAACCACCCTTCTTAGCTCAATTCCTCCCAGTTCTTTGAGAGGAAAGACCTATGTTCATTAAAGATGTACCTTCTAAAATTTTCCTAAAAATGCCTGATGTTTTCCTTGAGGCAGTGAGTGGTAAAATTAAATATTCAATTAGTCAAGTCTCCAAAATCCCAGAAATACCCCAAGCAGACAATGATAATCAGGAATCCCTTTCCCCTTCATGGCTACTTGCAAGTTTCCTGTGAAAACATTGTCTTCCTATACCAAAATCAAAATGTGTATTACAGCTCTCACCTTGTACAGCTCACATGGCAGTAAATATGAAAAATTAGAGTATTCTACCCACTTTTCAATAAACCTTCCAGGCCGCAATAACCAGGATGGTTTTCAGTTAAAGCCCTATTTGTACTTTTTATTTATCAGCTGATATGTAAGCAGGCATATTCACTCACTTTTCTTTGTCTTTCCTGACAGGTTTTCTTTTTTTTTATTACAACTTCTCCCTTGGTTATCTGTTATCTATTGCACTTCCAACTTGTAGCCAATAAAACTGTTTCATTGCCATCAAAGGAATAAAAAGCTCACTTTAAAATTACATTTCAAAACAAATCCAGGTTTCTGCATGGCTCACTCAGCTGAAATAATGCCTTTCATTCCCTATGCTCTCATAGGGCAGAACACTTTTGTAAGTAGAGTTTTTTTATGTTTTTTGGTCATATCGGTAGCATGCAGCTTTTTCCTCTCAGAGTTTTCTATAGCAAATGTAATATGCCTCTTATCATCATGAAAAATAAATACTGCTTTTGAACAAGCAACTCCATTCTTTAGCACTCAATTACAGTTTCAAAAGGTGTCCAGTGTTACAAACTTACTTTCACAACTGCATCCAATTGTCGGGAATGGCAAGATTGGGCGGCTTCTGAAGGCTTCGTTTAATAATAATGCTGAAGGAATGAAGGCCCTGTCCCTGGACTGTTGGCTTCTCTCTACTCTGTCCCTAATCTGCACCCACACAGTGAGGTGAGATTTGGGTTTGGTTTTGTTTCTGTTGCTGTTTCTTCATTTGACCCAGGTCTTTTAATGAATTACATCCTCTGACATTCCTCACCTAAGGGCGTCCACACCCTTCCTCTTCCTGGTGGCCTGAAGTCCACAGCTTCACAGCCTCATTTCCCCTTGGGCTGCTCTCATCCCTTTTCCCTTGGAGATGAACCCTACCCCACCCCTGCTCCTGTGGCTCCTTGTCAGCTACTCAGGGAGACCTGCCCAGGCCCATGGAGCATACAGATGGCTCTTCCAGCTGTGAGGAATTTTTCTTTGGCTTGTAGCATAGTCCTTATTATCATCCTACTAGAGACAGCATACCTGCCTGCTGGGTGAAACTAGGCCATTTAAGTTTGATGGCTTCAGGTCAGTTGGGGGTTGGGGGTGGAAACATATATTCCATGACAAGAATAACTTTTGCTATCCAAAATACCAGCTAATATGTGAGTATGGGGAAAAGATCAAACAATTCTGTGCATACAAGCTAATTTGGAAAACTTGGGTTTTTATCTAAAAAGTTATAACAGTTATATATATAAACAGCATTTTCATGCAAATACATTAAGGATTTTATTTCATTTCCTGTAATGTTCATATGTCCAGTTTTACACTAAGACTAACTCAACAGATGTCCAAACTGTTCATGTTTTCCTAGGTTCCTCTGGTAGAATATTAAATTAAATTTATAGATTAGTATTCCTGCCTGAAGTCCTAGGAAATACGATTTTGTTTATTGACACCCCTGATCAAATATGCCAGACGACAGGATATTTATACTTCTCTGGTGTTATTAACATTTACTCAGATCCTTTTGCTTTTAATGATCAAGTTAAAGACTACACAGGCCACCAAAACATAAGACAGTACACTGGGATATCGCTCAAATAAAACATTTAGACATCGGCAATGGATAAACAGCTAACTGCTTAATTTAAGACTCTATGCTTGCTGTTCAAGTTATATTTCTGAATTTTATATATCAATTCATATCATGTTTTTAAAAAATTTCATTTCTACAGAGTTGTCTAAAATTTCTCAATGAGATCCCATAAGAAGAGAGTGGAGTTAAGCCCACAGTAAAGGTAAATGGACTCAGGGCAGCAAGTTGTGGGCCAAGAAATCTTCATTTTCTAACAAAATCATTTGACTTTCTACTTATTTTAAAGCTGATGAATCCTCATTGCCAGATTGAGTGGCCAGAAACAAAATGTCCAAAACATTCTTGGATTCACTTTGCATGTTAAGCAATGGCTGCAATGTAAGTTCTCTTTTAAGAACTAAAGTCTCTGGGTTCTATTTTTTCAGTGGTCTCTGATTGAGACCATATTTTAAATTCCTTCTCCTCAGGCCTTCTAGTCCTTGCTATACTCTCCTTTTCTCCCTGTTACTCCCAAATTCCTTTCCTTCCGTCACTACCCACCAATCTTTAAGTCAGAAAAAATCAAGATTAATAACTTGCTCTGGGGAGGCAGGAGAAGCAGGATCATTTGCAAAGATCAAGTACACAGTTTCCCAAAGAAGCAGTTAATACGATGACACTTGCAGCTGTTAAGAAACCCAGGCTTCCCAAGAGTCAAACACATCCAGGGAATGTTGTCCAGTGTCATCCGTTTTCCTGTAAAGTTCAGAATTTGGTGGTGGCTATTTACTGACTTCTACCACAGGGTATTTAGCCACAGTCAATACTGGTGAAAACAGACTAAATTAAATGCTTTATTCATTCATTCAAGAACAAATGCCCACTATGTATAAGGCATGATTTGGGCTCCAAACACAAGGAAGAGCCATAGGATAATACTACAGGAAGATATTCTAGGAGGGATAAATGGAAAAAAACAAGATGCTCCAGCAAAAATCAAAATGTAGGCCTGAGAAGAATGTACTCAACAAATACAGAACAAAGTAGCAGAAAGGAAAGAAAATGAATCTGTAGCCAAATAATTAAGTTTGGAAAAGTAGATAAACTGGAAGTGACCCAGTTCCTAACAGGCCTGGCTTGGAACCTCTTTGGCACCAGGGACAAGTTTCATGGAAGACAAATCTTCCACAGCCTCAGTGAGGGAATCAAGGGGTGGAAGGGTGGCACCAGTCGCAAAGCTCAGTGATACTGTGAGGCCTGGTACCTAGGGAGCGTGAACTGGTACTGGTCAGTGACGTGAGGTTACAGACTGCAGTTCTATAGGACCCATCCAGTGGGAAAATTCTGCCATTCTGCATTTTGGAAAATGATAATCTCCAGGAGGAATATGGATAGGCTATGAGTTATGAGGCTCCTTATTTGTGGGGTAAGACTGTTAATGGAAAAGAACTCAAACTCTGTAAAATAAAGACGTTTACTAAGAGCCCAGCATGAGTGACTATGGCCCAAAGCCACACCCAAAAACCCTTGAGCAAGTGATCTTGCCATGGTGGCTTATAGATTGGTTTCATACATTTCAGGGAGACAGGAATTATAAGTAAAGCCATAAATCAATACATGAAATGCATACATTGTTTTGGCCCCCAAAGGAGGAACATCTCCAAGTGGGAAATTACAGGCTATAGGTGGGTTTAAAGATCCTTCACTTTACAGTTCATTAAAGAAATGACGCTTTGTCTAAAGGCTTGTTACAGGATGTTCTTTCTGCCCATGCTTACCTCCCTTTAAAAACCTCTGTATTTCTGCTTACAATGAGGATAATGGCATTTTAAGATGGGAGTCTCCATCCTCCTCATTAATAAATTCTTTCCTTTTCCTCAACCCACTTGTTCTTCTGATGTAGTCTTGGGGACAAGTGTCAAACTTCAGTAAGATTGTTGACTTGTCTCTGATTAAT